CACTCTTGCTCAGGCTGGTTTCAAACTCTTGACCTCGAACGATCCGCCCGCCTTGGCCTCCTAGAGTGCTAGGATTATAGGCGTGAGCCACCGCGCCCGGCCTAAATTCTTCTTATTTTTGCACATCACAATTTCCCTCTCTGTCTCTACCCTGGCATAGGCTCTATCTTTGCACTTCCCAAGAGGCCCGTGAGAAGCTCATTCCAAAACAAGAAGTGCCATCTGGTCTGACATAAAGTTCACAGCTCTCCTGGATGCAGAAAACTGTTATGGCGACTTTCTTCTTTTTTTGCTAGCACTTTTATTTTTCTTCTTCTTACCTAACACAGTGACCACCAGCACAGAGCAGATGTTTAATAGACGGTGTTTTTGTTAACTAGATGATAAAACTTGGATGCACAAATCTCCACAGGTCCACAGGATAGATTGAGAACTGGGGGGGGGTGTCCCTCATTCAATCTGGAACTTTCTCTAGTGATTTAAACCCTGTTCCACCCCGGATTCTCACACAGCGCTCTGGAGAAATGCCTTTCCTACCTATTTTTTTTTCTTACTTCTTTCTCAGCTTTGTCTCTGATCCCTTCCCTTGTCCCTCCCCGTTTCCACTCTCTTTTCATCAGAAGATCGGAAATTGTACCCTTTTTCAGAGAGAGAGAGAGCATGTGTGCCACAGAGACAGGGGGGAAAGGAGGTCTTCTGTGTACCTAAGCCTCAAGCAGTTCCTACTGTCACAAATGCTGGCATACGAGAACCCTGGCACAGTGTTTTCATCTGACAATAGTCATTACATTTGAAAAGAAGGGTTCGTTGCTATGGACTGTGATATTGTGGAGATTCTAGAAAGTACATGATGGATTTGAATATTTGACTCAAACAAATAGGAAAACCGAATTAACAGGTTCAAAGAATTTTGAGACTGAAAATAATCTTTTGCATTAAAATGAAAAAAAAAAAAAGGATAGTGTGGAGTTTTGGGGGCCTGTAGTTTTTCAGTAAGAGATGCTGACATATTACCACAATTTTTTTTTTCTTCAACAGGGGGACAGAGAGGTACGGTTATGAAGGGGGAAAGGGGCCTCCTAACTGATCTAGGGGCTACAAAGGTAAATTAACCATATATTTAATTAGTTTAGTTAACCTAAACAGAGGAAGAAGTTTTGTGCTTGAGGGAGAGAAGAGACAGAAGTTACAGAGCTGTAAGTGAAATACAAAGCCCATGAGACCCAAGAGCCATTCCGCATCCTGAAGCCCATTCAGATTTTGAAGCCCCATCCTAACCACAGCATAAGTGTTCGAAGTACAATCAGACAGGTTCTACCTAGCGCTTTACGTGATAGATGAGTCCTCACTAACATCTATTATATACACCAGCTTTTGCTGACTCAAGATTACGACATTCATTTAAGCCCCTAGCTCAGCTCTCATCTTACTTTTACGCCACCCATTCCTCAAATCTTTAGCCATATTTTAAACCTCGCAGGTAATCATGCATAAATGGCTCTTTTTTTTCTCTTTCTTTGAACAGAGTCCTCCGTATCCGCCAGTAGAGTCTGTAGTGTTCACATCTAAGCTCACAGCAACCTCCCAACCATCCTGTCAAGCAAGCCCTCTCAGCCTCCTTTTTTGAAGCTCGCTGCACCTCACCGCCAATGTGCCCACTATGTCTGTCAATTTTTCGATCTCAACCCATAAATCTATCCTTTCTAAGTCAGCAACTTAAACCTCTCCACCCCTAGTAGAAGATGGACTTTGCCTCGCTCAGCCTGTGTGAATTCCCTGACTGACTCTGCTCGAGTACTAGATATAGGCGTGACCACATGCCAGCCTAGACATACTTTTTAAACCTAGTATATGATAACATTGTTTTGTTGTTTTGTTGTTTGTTTGAGACAGAGTTCCTCTGTTCTGGGCTAGAGTGAGTGCGTGCATCAGCAGTCAACACGCACCTCAAAATCCTGGGCTCAAGCAGATCTCCGCCTCGCCTCCGAGAGCTGGCACTACAGCAATGCGCCACCGAGCCCGGCTAGATATTATCCGTGTCCCAACTTAATGTTCTTCCATTTTTAGTAGAGATGGGGGCTGCTCCTGCTCAGCTGTTTCTGAATTCCTGACCTCGAGCAATCCCCCGCCTTGGTCTCCCAGAGTGCTAGGATTATAGGCGTGAGCCACTCGCCCGCCCGGCTGATAACATTGTTTGACTGGCTGTTTTAATGCAGAGTCAGAGCTTTGGTAAAAAATAAAAATAAACAGAAAAGCCTGCAAATTTTTTGAATATCTCTGTCATTCAGTGTAGACTAGAATATGCAACAGTAAGAACGTTGAATCCCAGGGGTTTACAAGGACAGAGGCTTATTCCTCAACTATGCCCAGCTGTTCCAGCGTGGGTCACCAGGCAGACTCAAAGATGAAGACTGATGGAGGCTCCACCGAGCACCATGCTGTCATTTCCCCACATATTTCCATGGTCACCTGAGGCAGGAGAAAAGAGGTCGTGGAGAATGACACATGGGTTTTAGATTCTTCTGCCTGGAAGTGACTCACTTCACTTCCACTCACAATTCACTGGCCAAAGTAAGTCACGCAACACAGCAAGGAGGCAAGAAAAGTGTAATCCCCTTTGTTCCTAGAAAGTAGAGAAGAACAGCATTTTGGTGACGTCTACCCTCATCCACCTTCCTGTTCACCAAATACTTGGTTGGCAATCCTCTCTGGCTTCATAGCTTTGGTCCCTCCCCAAGGGAGAGCACCCAAAAGTCCGATCAGAGTATCTAGCTCAAAGTCTAGGGTTTCTAAATAGTGTGCTCCAATTCATTGCATAAGGTCTGAGTGAGTAGAATAGGCACAGGAAAATAGCAATAAACACTTCCATTTGGAAAAAGAAAGAATGGAAAGTGCATGGGAGTGTTGATTTAGAGCAAATCCTTTGAAATCCTGCTTGGCTGACCTTGTGGGAACCCATGGCCAGGGGATGTGGACTGTCCTTTGACTGGACCCTGGTTCTGCTTCTTGGGAGGGGCTCACTTCAGTCCCTGGCTCCACTCCAGGGGAGGTTATTTTATTTATTTATGAGACAGAGTCTCGCTTTGTTGCCAAGGCTACAGTGAGTGCCATAGTGTCAGCCTAGCTCACAGCAACCTCAATCTCCTCAAGCTCAAGCGATCCTCTTGCCTCAGCCTCCCAAGGAGCTGGGACTACAGGCACGCGCCACCATGCCTGGCTAATTTTTTATTTCTATTTTTAGTTGACTGGGTAATTTTCTCTAGAGGGGTCTCGCTCTTATTCAGGCTGTTCTCAAACTCATGAGCTCAAGTGATCCTCCACCTAGGCCTCCCAGAGTGCTAGGATTATAGACATGAGCCACTGTGCTGGGCCTCCTTGGGTGGTTAAAAACATTTTTTTTCCTGCCTGTACTCTGTTTGGTCACATCTAAAATGGTGTTGGTGAACCTATCTTTTTTAGAGCCTAATTTCCGCTCCTTGGTGGTTGGGGCACTGAGGATTTATTTCTGATTAATTTTGAGAGCTCTCTCAAAATCTTAGTAAACTTCTTATCTAAATCAATTATTTTTGAGGCATAATTCCCAGAGAATTTCTATTTCTTTATTTTTTCATTCCTATAACTCCTCCACTCTTGATTTAACTGTAGATTACTAGAACCATACTCTTACAATTTTTACTGTGAGTCCTTTTATCTAATTAAAAGGATTTACCAGATGCTTCATTCTGATTCTTGCCCTTAGGAAATTTATTTGCTTGAAATGTTTTATTGTGCATTTCTCCCTCAAAGGCTTTTTCAATCTTATCTTTTACTCTTGAGGGCTAGAAGGAGTTGGGGTGTTTTTCCACCTTGCAGGGCTCTGAATTTTGGGCCTCTCTTCGTTCCCTTTTTTTTTTTTTGAGACACGCTTTGTTGCCCAGGCTAGAGTGAGTGCCGTGGCATCAGCCTAGCTCACAGCAACCTCAGACTCCTGGGCTCAAGCAAACCTTCTGCCTCAGCCTCCCGAGTAGCTGTGACTACAGTCATGCGCCACCATGCCCGGCTAATTTTTTCTCTATATATTAGTTGGCCAATTAATTTCTTTCTATTTATAGTAGAGACGGGGTCTCACTCTTGCTCAGGCTGGTTTCGAACTCCTGATCTTGAGCTATCCACCCGCCTCGGCCTCCCAGAGTGCTAGGATTACAGGCGTGAGCCACCGTGACTGGTCTCTTCGTTCCCTTTTATTTTGTTTTGTAAGCCTGCCAACTCTTTCCCGAGCTCCTCTCTTCCCTGTGTTCCCTTGCCAAATGCAGATAGTAGTATCCAACGCATGCAACTAACATTCTATTTTCTAATCTCTTTCTCTAGAACTACAGGTTTGTTAGGCATGATCTGCCTAGATCTGCCTCTCTAGTTACTGATGGTAATAGTTCTAGTAAATGTTTTGCCATTGCAGAACATGGATCACACTTATCCAGCCTATAATTTTACTGTCATCGCAGCCTGCTAACTGACCACCATCATGTTATGGCTATTTTAGACTTTTGTTCTGGGAGCACCTCACTTGTAGGGATCAATTTCTGTATCTGCAGATATAGTGCTATGCTATGGCAGCATATCTTGATTAGACTTACTCTTTTATTTTATTTTGTTTATTTATTTATTTATCTTGAGACAGAGTCTCACTTTGTTGCCCAGGCTAGAGTGAGTGCCATGGCGTCAGCCTAGCTCACAGCAACCTCAAACTCCTGGGCTCAAGCGATCCTCCTGCCTCAGCCTCCCGAGTAGCTGGGACTACAGGCATGCGCCACCATGCCCGGCTAATTTTTTCTATATATATTAGTTGGCCAATTAATTTCTTTCTAGTTATAGTAGAGACGGGGTCTTGCTCTTGCTCAGGCTGGTTTCGAACACCTGACCTTCGAACACCGCCCACCTCGGCCTCCCAGAGTGCTAGCTGTTTTAATTTAGATTGTGTGTTTGTGGATGTTTATTTGGAGAAGAAGGCGGGTAGAGATGAGTGGAGGGGGGCTAAAATTACCCCAAATCTATGAAGATCCCAGAGAACCATCCTAAAACATAAGCAAGCACGAGATAGACTAACTATGAGCACAGATGTGTTAAACTTCTTATCGTTCCAGAGGGAGGAGCAGAGGACTCCATAGCCATGGCCAGGAGCAATGTGGATGACAAGCCCATGATTGCAGAAGATATCAGGTGTTTTAGGTCTAAGAAGCAGGCCTCCAAGCGCATAATCTCTCTCTCTGACCTTCTTCTGCCCTTCATTCACCTGCTCCTTTTTCTCCCCAAGGCAGACTATAGAAACTGAAATTATACTCTAATTTCCCCCTCACCTTCTGTCTTGGAGCTGGCCATTAAAAAATCTTTTTGACCTACCCTGTCTGATTGTAGATCTGACTGTAGATCATAAGACCCCCATTTCGGAAGGGGTCCTGCCCCACACCGAAGAGGAATCTGAACAGACAGGCCTTGCTGGGTTTGCCCACTCAATCTGTGAATATCAGATCAAGCCCTTTTGTCCAATCATGTTCTACAGTTGCCCATGTTTCAATCATGCTCATCCAGCGAAGTTTCCATAAAAGGCCCAGGAAGATGGAGTAGGGAGAGCTTCTGGACACCTGGACTTGGGGAGGCTCACAGGAAGGTAATGACAACTTATCCACCGGCCGGGAGGGTGGCATACCCCAACCCCACAGGAATGGAAGCGCCTGTGTGCAGGACCCTTCCAGGCCTTGCTCTGTGTATCTCCTCATCTGGCTGTTTATGTCTGTCCTTAACAATATCTTTTAGCACGGACTGGTCAGCATAAACATTCCCCTGAATTTTGTGAGCTGCTCTGGCCAATTAATCAAGCCTAAAGAGGGGGTTGTGGGAACCCCACCTCGAAGCCAGTTGGTCAGAAGTCCCAGAGGCTCAGACTCTGTGGCTGGTGCCTGAGGACTGGGCCGCCTACCTGCGGGGTCTGATGCTCTCTCCAGGTAGAAGGTGTCAGGATTGAATCAGATTAGAAGAAGCCCTGCTGGTGTCCCCTGCGGGGTTGATTGCTTGCTTGGTGGTGGGGAGAAGTCCCCGCCTGTTTGGCCACAAAAGTCTTTTGTGTTGATTGTTGTTGATGTGAGAGCAGAGGGAAAAACAGTTTGTTTTTTTCATCACAATGAATAATGATTATTTATGAAGCACCATAGGGAGTCTAACCATGGGGCTGAAAAAATAGTTTAGGGAGACAACAAAACTACCTGCGGATATAATTCCTGAATCTCTCACTGACGTCATTTAGTTCTTTGGTTGTGTTTTCCCATTCATAAAATAGAGCTAGAGATAGTCCTCTGGTTTAACACTAAGGCTCCTCTAAGGATGACTTATCTGGCCATTCTAATGTTCAACAGCTGATAATGGTAGAGAAGGCACTCGGTAAGTGTTAACGATTAATATTCAATCATGATTCATATTGCATGACTAGAAAGTGGAACGTAGGGTGCATGACAAGGCAGTTGGCAATTTGTGGAAGAACATAAAAGATCATGACCAAAATCTGTAACTTGGTTCATCGCTGTAGGAAATAAGAATTTTACTATAATTTGAGGGCGATGGGGGTGGAAGTGGGGTAGAAGAAAAGGAAGATTTGGTTTTTTTCCTGTCATCCCTTTTTAGGGTCCCCCCCTTGGTTCCCCTTCAGGAAGTGGAGTAGGAAAAAAAACCCCTGCATTCGTCAGTAACTCTAGGTCAACCACAACTTCAAGACAGTAAGCAGGTCAATCGAAACAGGGGCAGTGATTGCTATAAAACCGACAGGTACTCTCATTGATACAACACAGGCATACAGAGGAAGACATATCCACAGAGCTTCCTGCACGAAGCAAGCAACCTGAGCAAAATGACAGTGAAGATCCTGCGAGGCATGGCTTTGGTGAGTGGCAAGAATTCTGGTTTAAGGCCAGTCGTGTCTAGGATTTCAGAAGAGCAGATTTCTAAGCAATGAGGTGTGCTTGGGTCTTTTTAAAATTACTTCTTTAAAATACAGAGATGACTTTAACTTTGACTCCTGCCTGGTGGAGAAAAAGAAAAAAAAAAATATCTAGAAAAGTTATAATGGGATGCAAAACATAGCTCTCACCCGATGGCTTTTGCCCAGGCAGTGTTAGTGAGTGTGGTCTGGGTATCACAGCTGGCATGGTCTCTCCTGTGGCCACCTGCTATAGAATTAGGTTGGCCTAAAACTCTTATCTCATGTTAGGAGCTTAGCCACCCTTTAGGGGATATGTACATTTATATTTTACCCAAGGAAGCCGGGGCCCCAAGAGATTTAATGATTTCCCCAACACTATATGGATGACTTGAATGGAAGAAGCGAAACCACCCAATGTTGACTTTGGACAGCTCCTAGAGAAGTGAGATTTCCCATGTTTCTCATTGCTACTTGTTTATTTTTTTGTACCATCTCATTCCTCTTGGAACAAAAAGGGTGGTTAATGTGATGGAAATCTTCCCTCCTACCCCAACTCAGGGTTTGGAATTTTGCCTGGCATTATTCAGATAAGGTCTGGGAAGAATTTAATGTACAGGCATAAAGGAATAGGGCTTAGGGAATTATGCACCATATTATTGGCTTAGAAAATTCCTCTTTTTTTCTCCTTACAAGCCATGCAACTTAAAAGAGCTTGGATGTCATAAAAGGTCCATGACATATGGCAAAGATAATACTTTTATTTTATATTTGTATGTTATTTTGGAGATTACAAGACATGCAGCAAAGTACATTATTTAGGAGCATAGGCATTGGAGTTAGACAGACCTGGATCCACTACTTGCTAAGTGTAGGATTTTGGATAATCTACTTATCTTCTCTGTGCCTCAGTTTCTCCAATTATACAGTGGGAATCATAATGGCATCTCTCCCATGGCATTTTTGGGGGGGAATTAACTGATATCATTGAGAATAAATGAATTTATACTCTGTATTGGCAGATCTGTGTATGCTTAGCTTTTAGTTAACTTGTCCATTCTAATATACAACAACTAATAGTGATAGAGAAAGCATTCCGTAAGTATTAGCTATTACTATTAGTATTATTGTTACCCCAGAGACTCTCATCATTCTCACCACCGAAGTAGATGGGGATTACTTTCTGCATTATACAGATGAACAAAAGCCCAATTCAATTAACTGACTTATTTAACATCCCTGGATACCATAAGCATAAGAACTGGGACATGAACCTAAGTTTTCAGGCTCCAAGTCTAGTATGCTTCTCTTTGAAGGCTGCAGAGGCAAGGTTTCTGAATTTAAAGCCATTGCATCCAAGCAAATCAGTTGAGTAGCTCTGTGCTGCAAAGCTGTTTCTATTTCTGGTTTCTTTGAAGAAATCTGTTGGGTTGCCAGCAAGAAACAAGATGGTGTAAGAGGTATTGGAATAGGATTAAAAGTTGGGAGTTAGGGTACTTAGGACATCCTCAATAAGTAGTGTAGGCAAATTCTCATGGACCTAGAACCTGGCCAGGCTCTGGAATTCATATTTATATGGGGAGGGCACAAACTGCAGATAAGTACAGGAGGTCAGTATCAATTCACTCAGGTGGGCTCCCATTAGAGTGAGGTGCAAAGCTAGGCTAAGTTTTGTGTCTTGTTACTGCTCACCTCCAGCTGTTGCTTTCTCTTGCCTCTGCTTCCTATTCTGCAGCATGAGAGCAATATCTATTCACCTGCTTTATAGATAGCATATAAGAATTGAAGTCTATAAAATGCTCTGAACTCCTCTGAGAAGTGCTGTTTATATCATTCTTTTTTTTTTTTTTTTTTTTTAGACAGAGTCTCGCTTTGTTGCTCAGGCTAGAGTGAGTGCCGTGGTGTCAGCCTAGCTCACAGCAACCTCAAACTCCTGGGCTCAAGCAATCCTGCTGCCTAAGCCTCCATAGTAGCTGGGACTACAGGCATGCGCCACCATGCCCGGCTAATTTTTTCTCTATATATTAGTTGGCCAGTTAATTTCTTCCTATTTATAGTAGAGACGGGGTCTCGCTCTTGCTCAGGCTGGTTTCAAACTCCTGACCTCGAGCAATCCTCCAGAGTGCTAGGATTATAGGCGTGAGCCACCTCACCTGGCCTGTATCATTCTTAAGAACCAGTGACAGCCTTATCAGGGCCCCTGCTCTGTATTGGATAAGGACTAAAATCTACAGTTTCAGATCAAAAGCTTTGTGGAGCAAATAGGAGTGATTTGCAGACCTTATCTGATTTCCTGATAAAGGGCCGTGTGACCTACAACACTCATGCAATTCTGATACAGCTGTCACATTGCTTAAAATGCTTGGCTCTTGGGACACAACATGTTGTCTTAAAAAAAAAATAAATAAAATAAAATGCTTGGCTCTCCTAGTGACATAAAGCTAAGAGTAATGTTGACAGTTAGAATAATGACCTTCAAGGGCAGTAGCACTGACCACTGACTCCTAGGTTTGAGTCTGTGGACTGGCATTAACAGGCTGGTGAACCCACTCAAGTTATGTATTGCTCTCAGACCTAACTCCTTCACCTGTCTAATGGGGATAATTAACACCAGCTCTCTCTGTCTCACAACTGTAGTTGTGAGAATCCAGTGTTTAAAGAGATGTGAAAGTGTTTTCTAAAATACTCTAAGAATATGTAAGAAAATATAATAATGGCGTGTTAGAAGTATGGTAATTATTGCTAAATCATATAACCCCAAGGCATAGTTACTTTAAAGCTTCCATAATGAAAATTAGAAGTGATTCAGTGAATATGATACAGAAGAGGAAAGACAAAACACAAAGGATGAATTTACTCAAGAAACCTAACAAAAGTGATTCAGAGGCTTGGGAAGCCGTCTAAGGACCCTCTTATCTAAGTTGGCATTTTAAGAGAAAACAACTTTGTGGCACTTTGTCAAGACAGAAGGTGCACGAGGGTGGCTTCCACATCAGTCTTGTCCACTGCATAGCATTGGCAAACTGCTGACCTAACAATAGCCGCTGGTGGCACTGAATATTCACTATGTGCGGGGCCTTAAGTGTATATCATCTCATTCATGCATTTTCCATTGGCGGAAACTGAGTCCTGTCTTCTAAGAGTCCTGGAACCGGGTTACAGACCTTGGAATTCTGACTCTGGAGCCTGTGCCCTGAGCCACCACACTAGAGAGTGAAGAACTAGATGTTGAATGGATGGATGATCGTGGCACCTGAGAGCAGATGGCTATTGATTATCTGAAGGCAAATCAACCTCATTCTGGCTGATCTGGGTCAACCTTGCTTTCAACTTCTTTTTGCTATCAGCTACTTGGGTACAGCAAGTTGACACCGTGACCTTTTTGTTTACTCTTTTCATTTCTGGCCTCAGGCATCTACAAATTGTAAAAAGAAGGGCCTTTTAAATCAGTATGTCTAACCACCTTACCTGCCTTAACTGATGCAGGCGGTGAGCCTGAACAACACGGAGCCCAGCGAATGAAGGCAGCTCAGCTTCCGCTCTTGCTCTGCGTCATGCTGAGAGCTGGTGATGGCCCTTGTCCATACCCAAGAAGGGTAACGGTGGGGTGAGCGAAGCACAGTCATGACAAAGGGAAGCTGGTGAGATTTTTAGCTCTTCTTTTAGTTAGGTCTTCACAGAGCACTTTCATTCTTTGTGCATTCCTGTCACACCAGATAAACTGATATTTCAGTGTAAGTACATAAAGAAAGTATATTCCAGAGCTTAAGAGAAATAGTTTCTGTATTCTCTGTTGTTGTGCTTCATTAGTGCTGCTGTTTCTTTCAATTAGCGTGGATAATTGGAACTTTGCTATAGCTGGTTTTGCATAATGCTTTTCTTAATGCGTTGAGCTTAACTATATTGTTTATTGAACGGTATCGTTTGTTTCATTCATTCACTCATCCATTTTTTCATTCATTCAGAAAGTATTTATGGAAAAATCCGTAAAATGCAAGTTCTCCTGCAGGAATTGACAATCTAATGGGTGTAGATCTGGCATGAACACAAATACTATGTTTCCGGACAATTAAAAAAAATGCTACTTGAGTGTTAGACGGTAAAGGCTTTATGATTTAAAGACAATAAACATACCTCTGATTGGACCTCTTTAGGGAATCCACATCTGAGCTGGGCCTTGACGGAAGGGTAGGATTTCCACAGACAGAGGAGGGGTAGTGTATTCCTGATGGAGGGATGGATGGGAGGAAGGATTTTCTAGAGAAGTCATGGGATATGAGGTTGGACATCAGAACGAAAGCATTTATTAAGCCTCTATTTTTGTTAGACACATTTATAGGTGCTTTCCATAGAACATTCCATTCAATCTTGTTTATATTTTTATAAAATAAGTATGTTATCCAATTGCAAAAGATGAGAAATCAGAGGCTCAGCAAGGAAGCCGGGATAGCATTTAAACCCAGTCCCAGTCTTTCTGTCTGACTGTTTAGGACCATGGAGGGCTTCGATCATCAGGCTAATGAGTTTTAGTTTTCAGTTTGGCACCCTGATATCTCCAGGTAAGAGTGTTCCCATTTCCAGGTGAGGAACTGAGGTGCAGAGAGAAGCCCTGATCCCGTAAAAGGACAAGGAATGCTGAGTTCAGCTAGAGCACGTGTTACCTCTTGCCAGCAAATGATGCCAGAGTCTCTAACCAGGGGCAACTTCCTCTCTTTCCCAGCTCCAGTCCCTGCTGCTGTTGATGCTGGGGCTCGCCTGTCTGAAGGATGTGGCTGCTGGGAAAAACTTCAAAGCCTGGAACGCTGCCTTCCCAAAGCCCGACAGTTGCCCTCCTCTGGAGGGGGGCAACTTTGTGAAGCTTGACATTCGCATCGTCAATGAAAACCACCGTGTTGCCATGGGACGTAGCTTCCAGAACCGCTCCAGCTCCCCCTGGGATTACACGTGAGTGCCAACACCGAGAATGATCTTCACGTTCTTTCGAAGAATATGTTAAAAATTTCACTGAAAGCCCTGACTGCAGCATTATGGAGTATTTCCTATAACAAAAACCTTTGTACCCCCTTAATATTTTGAAATAAAAAAATGTTCATTCATTCTAATCATCAAATAGAACATTTAGAATATATATATATAAAAAAATAACAAGGGAAAGCCCTCACATTCACTCTCCACAAGGGAAATCTCACTTTACCAGGGAGCTCATGCTGTTCTTGCCGTTTTGGGCTGGGTCCACCCCGGTGGTTGGACGGTCCTAATATTTTGCTTCCGTATTCTCATGGACTCTGTGCCTTTTTCTGCTTCATGCAGTCCTAGGTTGGAATCTACAATTCTTTTCTGTGTTGGAAGAGAGGATTCTTTTTTTTTTTTTTTTTGGTTTGCATTTCTTTTTTTTTTTGGCATATTATGGGGGTACATATTTTAAGGTTTCAATAAATGCCCTTTCCGACTCCCCACCCCCCCCAGAAGAGAGGACTCTTTAAAGCAGCCCTCGTAAATATCTCTGCATGAGGATCAGTGGGGACCAGGAAACGTCAGTTCGGGGAGATGCACTCACATTAGGCATTACCCTTTCAGCAGTGGGGGTGAGGGAGGATTGCAGAAACAGGCCAGTTTGGGAAGTGGGATCCTAGGTGGGGGCCATTGGGGTACAGTTTTATAATTTTGTCTTAAGATACAGGTTGTTAGAACATCAAGCACCCCTCCCCCCAATACTCTCCAAATAGGACAACAGATTCCAGGGACAATTAGAAGAGCTTCTGGGGTTGCTGCCTAACTTCCCACACAAGTGGGGCGTGGACAGGAGCATGCTGGCTGCATTGACTTTGCAGAGAGAAGGCACTGGATTCACAGACCTAGGGAAATCTGGCTTTCCTTTCCAGGCCGTAAGCTCTGTAGATTGTAGATTGAGAGACCTATTAGTGGTGTTCCATCTCTAGGCAAAGGATAAATAATCATTGTAATAATAATAATAATGCCAATAAAAATAAACTAAAAGATCTAACATGAGTTGGATGCTAACATTGTACAGCAGGGTATCTTATATGCATTTGTATCGCTCAGTGTTCTCAACAACCCCATGAGAGAACAGTATATGACTATCTTCATTTTATAGTTGAGGAAACTGAGGCTTGGGGGTGGGGGTGGGTAAGCAACTGCCAGAGGCCCGGGGATGAATCCAGGCCACCCAGCTCCAGAGCCTGTGCTTCGCTGCACGGGTTAGGGCTAGGGCTAGGGTTAGGGTTAGGGAGCGCCCAGTGCTGCGGGGCTGTCACCCTCACTCCTTGCTTTCCCTCTCCTCACCATTGTGCTTTTGCTTGCTCCCCCTGCAGTTTCAACTGGGACCCCAACCGGTTCCCCTCAGAAATTGCACAGGCCCGGTGTAGGAACTTGGGCTGCGTCAATGCCCAGGGCAAGGAAGATGTCTCGATGAACTCTGTCCCCATCCAGCAAGAGACGCTGGTCCTCCGGAGGAAGCGGGAGGGCTGCTCTATCTTCTTCCAGCTGGAGAAAGTGATGGTGACTGTCGGCTGCACCTGCGTTGCCCCCATGGTCCACCGCCTGCGCTGAGAGCAGTGGATCAACTCAGCCAGAGAAGCTATGGGAACACCACTCCTTTCCCGGCGCTCTGCAACAAGTCCTGTCTGAGCCCCAGTTCCCTCCACTTCATAGGACTCTTACTAACACCTACATGGAATTCGCAAAGCTCTGTACTAGGTATAATATTAACCTTCCGGGGCGTTTCAGAATGATTATGGGGTCCTAGATGTTCCACTGTCCCAACCCCCTGGCAACAGATGGAGGAGAATTAAGGAGCCCTTGGCCCACTCCCTGTGTTACATGATGACCGCCTTCTGCCCATGCGGCCAGCCTGGCCCAGTGCCCTTCCCTGGGGGCTCTGCTGGAGGTATATGGAAGTGCAGAAAAAATAATCACTATTGTATGTATGTATTGCATTTTATATTTGATTATATGTAAAATGAGAAAAATAATTAATAATATATCCTGTACTAATATAATAAAGTATTAATGACTGAAAAATACTTCAAGTGTTTGTTTCTAGTCTCAGCTTGGACTCACAGACCTTGTAGCCCCAAAGATGTTGGAATTCTATATACCTATCACGTGCTTTTCATATTTTCTCATTATGGCATTGGTGTTAGAGTTGTTTTATCATTAATGGTGCTTGGAGGTTGGTTGCATAGAAAGTTAAGGAGAAGGGTGCAAACAGAACTCTGATTCCCTGGTAACCATTTACTGCTCCGTCGTCCTGCCTATAGTACTTTACAAAGCAAACATTTGTTGGCCACGGTGCCAGCCACTGGAGGTACAAAGAAAAGTCAGAAATGCATAGGGGGCTGGGCGTGGTGGCTCACACCTGTAATCCTAGCACTCTGGGAGGCCGAGGCGGGCAGATTGCTCGACGTCAGGAGTTCGAAACCAGCCTGAGCAAGAGTGAGACCTCATCTCTACTATAAAAAAATAGAAAGAAGTTAATTGGCCAACTAGTATATATCGAAAAAATTAGCCAGGCATGGTGGCACATGCCTGTAGTCCCAGCTACTCGGGAGGATGAAGCAGAAAGATTGCTTGAGTCCAGGAGTTTGAGGTTGCTGTGAGCTAGGCTGACGCCAGGGCACTCACTCTAGCCTGGGCAACAGAGTGAGACTCTGTCTCAAAAAAAAAAAGAAATGCGTAGGGAAGGGCCACATGTTGGTCGTAGCCATCCACAGGGCCCCTGGTCATTAGGGCCATGGTGGCCACTTTGTGTCCTCATTCTGACTTCTGGGCCCTTTGGGGGGGTCACTGGTTGTCTTTCGTTCATCTCTTATGCTTTTTGGGGGCACATGAGCTTCCAGATTTTGGTCTCCATGCCACTCTGGGGAAATTCAGAGGTCCTCTTGTGTGTCTCTTGTCCAGTTATGGCGCACCACGATTTCTCCCTTACTGCTTCTATGCTCCCACTCAGAACACATCTGCCTTCCAGATTCGAGAGAAAGTGGGGTGTAAGTTCTCACTGCCACCTGGGAGTGGCTTGAGGATGGGCAGGGGCAGGAGTCTGGCCCCCGTTTCTTACTCTCTTGTCTAATCTGTTGGTGGATGTGAAAATGGAGTTGCTGGGGAGACTGACTCTTCATCTCTTTGCTCCAGAGTCTTTTGCTTAAGGTACAAATATATCAACTTTTTTTTTTTTTTTTGAGGTAGAGTCTCGCTCTGTTGCCTGCGTTATAGAGTGCCGTGGCATCAGCTTTGCTCACAGCAACCTCAAACTCCTGGATTCAAGCGATCTTCCTGCCTCAGCCTCCCGAGTAGCTGGGACTACAGGCATGCGCCACCATGCCCGGCTAAATTTTCTATTTTTTTGTAGAGACAAGGACTTGAGGTCTCATTCTTGCTCAGGCTGGTGTTGAACTCCTAGCCTCCAGCAATCTTTCTGCCTCAACCTCCCAGAGTGCTAGGATTACAGGCCACTGTGTCTAGCCAAATATTGACTTTTGTACTTAAAATGCTGAAACCTAAAAAAACCTTTTTCTCATAGCCATCAGCTTCGTAAGTTTACTATGAATCTCACAAGTTTATTTTGATGCTCAAATCTGTGCAATGAATCTTCTTTACTCTGTTCATTTTGGCGGTAATAGCCCTACCCTGAGGAAAGTACATGTAAAAAGCCCTCTTTGAGTAGTGGAGGAAATATAGGAAGTTGCAGGGGAAAAAAATTACAGCTCTGAGTGTATCAAAATAGTATCTCATCAAAAATAAATCACATGTAATTTCAAGGCAGTGCGCTAAATACTAGGATCAAGGCATAAAATGTTAGGAAAACACAAGATGATAGTTACTGAGAAATTTCAGAAAGGCTTTTGCCCTTAGATGAAATGTGAAGTTGGTCTGGAGGAAGATGTGGGAAAGGCATTCCTAGCAAAGGGAACAGCATGAGCAAAGGCAAGAGGTACAAAAAAGCCTGGTATGCTAGGGAAACAGCCAGTAAGTAGTCCTATGTGCTTGGGATAGTGTGGACACGAGGACACAGTGGGGAACATATAACAAATTATTTCTTTAATGAATGAATGAACATGGATGGTACTAGAACAGCAGGCAAATGGGCATGGATGGTTTTGCATGCTCTGTTACAGGAGTGACGAGAGCATAGCTGTATCTCGCAAGACAGCTTTGGTGATAGTGTACAAAAAGGACCAGAAACCCGAAGGCCAGCGAGAAGAGCAGAGAGAAAGCAACTTCACTGTGATTGGCAGACTCACACTGTTAGAGCTGCATGGACCCCTGCAGATCACCTGGGCCGCCTTTCTCATTTGCAAAAGTGGCCTTGCAGGAATTAGGTGACTTGCTCGAGGTCACTCAGTAGTTAGTGGCAGAAACAGGTTCACCGAATCCAAGTTCGTGACTTTTCATGTGGGTTTTGCTGCAACACTGTAGCGTGTCCAGTAAAGACTCATTTCTTTTTTTTATTTTTATTTTTTTCTTCTTCCTAAATGTAAGAACGTGTTTTGTAATAGAGACTCATTTCTGTCATTTCTCTTCATGGCTTAGGGCTGGCCTTGGGAGGGGGTACGGAAGTACCTCCACACCCCATATTTCCAAATACACTGTACGTGGTGCTCTGGGGTCTGGGACCCTAATTACAGCTTCCCTTTGGGGCTTTTACTGAGGGTTGGAACATGCACGTCTTCTCCTGCTCACAAGGTGGCACACTATACCCATTTTGCACGTGGCCAAAGGAAATAAATGGCCACTGTATGGGGGAATCTGTTTCTTTGTTGACTCAAGACAATGCTGAGGCAGCATGAGCAGCCTGTGTTCTTCTGCTCTGCATTCTGGGAGCTCCCTTGTTTTGCCTGTAGGAGAAATGGCTTAAGTTGAGCAGTTCAGGTGTTCACATACAAGGTTGTCATCGTAATGTGTGGAGAGAGAAATCTTTCTTCCACAGGGCAACTTGAAAGCATATCGCCTTTTCTTTTCCTTTTTTTTTTTTTTGAGACAGAGTCTACCTCTGTTGCCCGGGGTAGAGTGCCAAGGCGTCAGCCTCGCTCACAGCAACCTCAAACTCCTGGGCTCAAGCGATCCTCCTGCCTCAGCCTCCCGAGGAGCTGGAACTCCAGGCATGTGCCACCATGCCCGGCTAATTTTTCTCTCTATATTTTTAGTTGTCCAGCTAATTTCTTTCTATTTATGGTAGAGACAGGGATCTCATTCTTGCTCTAGGCTGGTTTTGAACTATTGACCTTGAGCGATCCTCTACCTCCCAGAGTGTTAGAATTACAGGTGTGAGCCACTGCCCCCGGCCTCGCCTTTTCTTTTGATATCCAGTTCTTATTTATGAAGGCTTGACTGAGGAAAAAACAATTCTCTCTCTCACTCTCTCTCTTTCTCTTCCTCCCTTCCTCCCCATCTCCCCAAATTTGGATAAAAGTCACCTTTATTCATACAGCTCTGTGTGAGATATTTCACTTGTAATCGACGGTGAGGAAAATAGGAAGTAGGTTTGTCTATTTTTTCCCTAATTTTTTCTTTTCCTAATAAAAGGAGAGGTTAAAAAAAGGTATTTAATATGTCGACAGCTCTTGGGCTTTTTGAATCCTGGTTCTACCATTTTCTGGTTGTGTGAATTTAGGCAAATTAGTCTTTCTGAGACTCAGCTTCCTTGTATGTTAAATGCGGGATAATATCTATTTTAAAGAGTTATGTGTAAAGTAATTGAAATTAGAAAACATAAGTGACTGAATATAGTAACTAGGAAATGTTGGGCTTAGTAAAAGTTGTTATTCCAAGAGGTGCAGAATTTGCTTTTCCCGTTTTGCTTGGCCCAAGGAAACTCAGACCCAACTTTTTGTTTAAACACGACAACTATACTATATCTCATGGTTATCAAATTTACTTTCTCCATTTAATGCCTATACACATGCACATATATTAATAGGGTATAGTATATATGGTACAGGTATATATTATTAATAGTATAGAGATCCTTTGTTTAAACCATCTTGCCATTTGTGAAAATTAAGGAAGCTATAGATTCAATTCTATTGTTACCTACTCCAGTGTTATAAAAGTGTCTTCGGAAGGAAGACACTTTTAGTTCAATAAGTTTCAGGAGCCGGTGCATGCTTATTTGGATAAATATGTGCTTTAAAAAGTATGTGCTGGCTCACTGGCAACTACTTAGTAGATACTGATTCTGAGAATTCTGCTCAGTAGAAGGAAATATTTTGAAACTAAGATTAAAGTAAAATGATCACAATTTGAGCATTAAGATGTTCTTGCTGGCAAAACGTTTATCTCTTCATCTGCACAGGCATCGTAGCAATATCAGAGAGCACAGCATAAAGAGTAAGCGCATGGGCATTGGAGCCAGATACTGGGCTCAAATGTGTGGTAAGTTCTGGAACTTAATAGCTGTGCCAATTACTGATGATCTGGGGCTAGTTACCCAACCTCTTGGAGCCTCCCTTTCCTCAACTGTAAAATGAGGATGATAACAGTACCTACTTTATAGAGTTGTCAAGAGGACAGAATAATATCTGTAAGGTACGTAGACTAATACCTGGCATGGTAGGCGTATTGTTTAATATATTATTTAAAAAGAGGAAAGCCATCCATTATCCTCCCTCCATAGCTTCATTTTTAATATCTTGCTTTCTCTTCTGCTCTTTTGCCTCACAGATTCATACTTTAAAAGGCTATAACTATACCATATATGCAATTCGTACTGGGTAATTTTAAACTTAATGTTATATTCTATTTATTTCCTGTGTTTCCATTGAGTGTTCACAATGATTTTTAGTAGCTGCATAATTCTTCTAAGTTGATGAACCAGAATTTATTTAGTTATTCCTTTATTTTTGGACCTTTATCCATACATTAAATAATGCTTGTAGCTGTTTTAATTGCTTTTTTATTGTGAACTTTAAAAAATAAATACTTTTTATTGTGAATATATAAGACAGAGAGAAGAGCTTATGTCTTTA